CCAAGGCCAGGTTGGAGCACCCTGGGATGGTGGAAGGTGTCCCTGCCCATGGCAGGGGTTGTCACTGGATGGGCTTTAAGGTCCCTTCCATAAACCATTCCATAATTCCATATTAACAAAAGCAAACTACCATTATAAGGAGATAATTTTCTCACACATTTGTAGCTTTGGGGCAAAACCTTCTGAACTTGTGACCCCAACTCAGAAACTCAGAGAATCACATGGAGGTAGAGAGCAGAAATGCTGGAATTAATGTTTCAGGACACAAGTTTGGAAGCTGAAGAGTGTTTCATGTAGAACAGTAAGTTCTGTTTGAGTACAAGTGATACTTGATCCCCTTCAGGGACTTTGTGTTGTTTTGGTAGGAAGTAGAAAAAGGTGATTGGAAAGGCTCAGGATATCACGTTCAGATTGTTGACTTCGGGGTGAGGTGACATTTGAGTCGTGTAACTGTAACTATTTTTTTATCCTGAGCTGGTTTTTTCTTTCCCCACCCTGTAAATCTCCTGTTCCCTGGCAGAGCAGCAGCACATCATTCACGCTGCAATCCCACAAACTGCTGAGTGGCAGGTTTTTGGGGGAAGCTTGGCCTTTTCTCTTGGTCAACCACTGCAAGGCTGACCCTTGGAATTAGTCCCTTGGTTTGTTTGCAAGCCCAGTTCCTTGGAATTTTGATCTACCCTCAAACAGCTGCTGCTTTAGCACTATCAACATGAACTTGGCTTTTCTGGGGGGACCAGGTTGAACCAGGAGGGGACAAATTCTGCCCTGGCTCAAGGTCAGTGTTTCCAGCACTGTTGGGTTCTCTGGTGACTCTTGCAGGGTTTTTCTCTGCAGCAGAAATAGTCTATAAAAAGATGGTTCTTAAGAAAGGCTCTTCAAATATTTATGCTGCCACCATCACTTCCTTTTACTTGAGGCTGTTTGAAGGAGTGGAAAATCCTTTCTCCATCCAGGTGAGTCCTGCTCCACACCTGCTCCAACCCTACCCCAAAACTGCCCCTGCCAAGGGGTTGAAGCCTCAGGCAGTTCTCAGTCCAACAGTCCTGACACATCCCAATCCATGGAGACTGAGTCTGTTTTGGCCAATTGATATAAAAGTGGCATTTTGCTTGGTTTGAAGTTTTTTTTTCCTTCTCTGTCCTTGTCTTTGTGGAAAGCATTTGTCTGTGATCTGAATGGGACAGAGGAGGGGAGGAGTTTTACACGTGTCTTAATTTTTTAGTTTTCTTTTAATTTAAGATTAAGATTTAAGATTTTTAAATTAAAAATTTAAGATTTTTAATAGGGTGGAGGAGTTTTTTTTATAGTTTTCTAGAGAAAATGCATTTAATATTTTAGCCAGGAGGTTTAAAGGAAAATAACCACCAAAAAAAAATTGTTAAAGCATTCAAAGCCCTGCATCTAGAAAAGGAAATTCTTGGTTGTGCTTTTGCCTGGGGGTTGTCCCTGGAATTAAAGCTTTGCAGTTGAGCTGAGCCCCAGCTGTGGGGGCTGAGCCACAACCAGGACTTTTGTCCCCGCCACGTGCTGGATGTTTTTCCCACTGGAAGCAGGAGGACACCCAAAAAATTTCATTTATTGCTCCAAAACTGCAGCAACTGCTTTGACTGCAGCAGTTCTGAATGTTTGCATTGTTGTTCTGCCTCACAATCAATCAGCTGATGTGTAGATTGAGCTCAGTCTGTGCCATAGTTCCCAGCCTTCTGTTCCTCTTGCTGGCTCCAAACAGCAGCCCAAATTCTGCCTTTATTGCCTGGCTCTATGTAAATCACTCAGCTCTGTGAGCAGAACTCAAAGCACAATTTGACCTACTTTGGATCCTCTCCTGCTGTTAATTTTGTGACTCCTCTAAAAGAAGTGCAAAGGGGGGGATGTGTGGTAGGCTCAGCTTCCTAAAGCCCGGCCCAAACAAAAAGTGAGTTGCTAAAATGGGAGTCAGCTCTTACCACTCTGTGCTGGGCTATTTTCATTTCTCTATTATTACATATAGTTCTTTTTTATAAGCTGGAAATTCCTCCTCCCTGCCTGGTTTCTATCCAAGCAAGTCCTTTTTCTTTGTCTCTCCACGGGCTGTTCTCTAAAGCCTGGCTTGGCTTTTTGCAGGCTGCAGTTTCAGATAACACAATAACCATGTTCCAATGTATTAAACTTTTAACATCCTCAAGATTCAATTAATCTTATCTTTACAACTCCCAATTACAGGCACTAATTAAGTGAAGGTTGCATTGTAGACTGGGGATATTACATTAATCATCAGCAGCCTTGTAGCCATAAATTAGTTCTTTCCCAATCCTTCAGCATTTTTCCCAGAAGGAATGGAATGTCTCATTTCCCTGTTTTAAGGGACATTAATCCCACAAAGGAGCTTTGGATCGGGATTAGTTTTATCACATTTATGTAAGTGATGAATGGTCTTTGTAAAATAAAAGCCACCAGCTTTGTCCCACACAAATGGAATTGAATTGTTTGATAATTATGCAATTTAAGGCCCTGTCAAACTTTGGTCAGGGGATGTTGGGAGTCCATTGCTGGATTTATTATTTTACAAGATTAGGGGCTACACAGTGTTTTGCCTGAAATTTTTGTTTTAAGCCATCAGTTGAAATCAGCTTAATGTCTAAATCTTGAAGCCCCCTGTGTTTGATTTCTGTCCTGTGTTATCCTCCCAACCTGCCAGGCCACAGCAGGTGCATTTTGATTTTGTAGTACAGGAGAGATGGCTTTTATCTGCTCCTCCTTACATTGCAGACTCGAGTTTTAGACTTGAAAATCGAGGAGTTGGCTGAAATTTGGTGTATTTTGGTGTATTTTGAGCTCTTGTCCTGAGCAGAGCAATGTGTACCCCTGCTGTTGAGATGGTGCAAATTCCCCCCTGCAATATCCTGTTTGCAGCTTGTTGTAATGAGGCCTGATGGCTTTTGACATCTTTATTGGAAATAGCAAAAATAATGCATTTTTTATTGTTCTCTTTGAAGAGAACTTACTGCTGGCAGTAAATGCCATTCTCCCAAATGTAAATTCTCAGAATTCTTCAGTGAGAGCCACGTTTCACTCTCTGCACTGTGTAACCAATGATTTACAAATTTCCATTGGCAAGATTACGTGTGGCATCATGTTAAACACACTCAAGTATTTATCATTTGTCAGGGTGTTTCCTTCCCTCCTTAGAACCTGACCACATAAATCTCAGTCACCTGATTTTTTTGCTCCTGTGAATATTCAAAGCACTGAGGGAACTGAAAGCTTTTGGAAGAGAAAGGAAAGTGGTTTTTGGACATGATGGTCACACACAGCTCTTTGGCTGTGACCTCTGGGACTTCAGGCACTTAATTGTTTTTCCAGTTTCATGTTCAATAATTTGCACTCCAAAAAACATTTTCAGCCAAATCCTTTCGCACCCTTTTTACCCCTAATCTTACAAAACTTTAAGAAGTGTAGAAGTTTGTTCTTTGTACCCTTTAAAGTTGTTTTTCCTCAGCAGGCCCTTCATTTTCATTCACCTCAGTGAGAAATTATGGAATGATTTAATTCCATTATTCCCATCAGCCAATAAAATGCAGCATAGACATAAGGATTGAGCCATAACTGCTTCAGCCACGGGGAAGAATATTTACTTTTTGGAACAAAATGAAAACTATTTGCACAGAAAATGGTTGGATTCCAAAGCACACAGACCCTCCTTTTCACACCTTTTTCAGCCCATCCAACATTTCTTGCTTGTTAATCTTCAGCACAATTTTATTTTTGCAGATCTGTTTCCAATGGAAAACACACCTGCTGTTCCCTGCACTGATTTATTTCTGGTTTTCCAGTGCTGGATCATCACTTTGTCTCCTCGATTTTCCTTCTACCTTGTGAAATCCTGTGATACTGTTTTAGAAAATAACACACCTCTAAGGAGTTTTATTAAAATCCAGAGTTTCTCCCATGCATTGTGTGTTCCTGATGCCTTTCAGGGGTACAAAATTTGGGTTTATTTCCAGGCAAGGTGTGCTGTGCTGATGGTTATTCCCCCACTCGTTCCTGGCCTTTTTCTTTAGCTGGTTTTTCCATTGCAGACTGCTGATTCTGGTGTTTAATTCCCTGTTAATCTCTCCCAGGTATGCCATCCCTCCGGAACACGGCAAGAGGCTGGAACGCCTGGCAAAAGGTGAGCTTGGAATTCTCAAGGGATTGACAAAGAACTGGCACTGAACTGACTTAGAATTTACTCTTACCAAGAGCTGCTGGAGGAACCTGCTGCCTTGGTGGAGCCAAAAAACTTGGCAGGGGCTTCTCCTTTCCTCAAAGCCTCTGTTTGTGGCACACCGTGACCCCGACTAAAATTGCTTGGAAAAGCCTTAAGTTTTGAGGCATTGAGACCAAACCCTTCCATGGCTGGGCAGTGGGTTTAATCACAGAATTCCAGAGTGGTTTGGGTTGGATGGAACCTCAAAACTCATCCAGCTCCATCCCAGGAACACCTTCAACTATCCCGGGGTGCTCCAAACCTTGTCCAACCCTTGGACACTTCCAGGGAAGGGGCAGCCACAGCTGCTCTGGGCAACCTGTGCCAGGGCCCCACCACCCTCCCAGCCAGGAATTCCTTCCCAATATCCCACCTAAACCTTCACCTTCATGGACAATG